ATGTCCATGTGTAGAGTCTTCTCTTGTGTTGTTGGAAGAGGGTGTTTGCTATGACCAGTGCGTTCTCTTGGCAAAACTCTATTAGCCTTTGCCCTGCTTCATTCTGTACTCCAAGGCCAAATTTGCCTGTTACTCCAGGTGTTTCTTGACTTCCTACTTTTGCATTCCAGTCCCCTATAATGAAAAGGACATCTTTTTTGGGTGTTAGTTCTAAAAGATCTTGTAGGTCTTCATAGAACTGTTCAACTTCGGCTTCGTCAGCGTTACTGGTTGGGGCATAGGCTTGGATAACTATGATATTGAATGGTTTGCCTTGGAAACAGAGATCATTCTGTCATTTTTGAGACTGCATCCAAGTACTGCATTTCAGACTCTTTTGTTGACCATGATGGCTACTCCATTTCTTCTAAGGGATTCCTGCCCACAGTAGTAGACGTAATGGTCATCTGAGTTAAATTCACACGTTCCAGTCCATTTTAGTTCGCTGATTCCTAGAATGTCGACATTCACTCTTGCCATCTCCTGTTTGACCACTTCCAATTTGCCTTGATTCACTGACCTAACATTCCAGCTTCCTATGCACTACTGCTCTTCACAGCATCGGACCTTGCTTCTCTCACGTCCCATCCACAGCTCAGTATTGTTACTGTTTTTACTTCCTTAAGTCTCTGTTGTTTTAGAAAACGCCCTTGGGCTTGAATTTCCTCTTGTTCTGTTTCAAATAAAGTCACCGCTTTTATGGGAGCGTCGCAGAGCTCTTTGTTCTTATTCGCTGCCTCTCGCCCCCTGGGCAAAACCTCTGAAGCACTGTTCTAGGTGTGGGACGGAGACGGCTCTGCTGCTCTCAGAGGGACACCTCCGCTTTCCGAGCGGAGACGGGGAAGGGTGGAAGCCCCGGCCTCAGCTTGCCTCTTCTAGCATGGAGTCTTCATCCGATGAGCTAGCTGGGCTGGCAACAACTGGTGCTGCATTACAGACTCAGGCTGCCGGCTCAGGCTAAAGACCCCAGCCTTCCTCCGGGGGTGCGGGGGGCGGGGCGGGCGGGAGCTGACGCCGGCACCCCTGGGGGCTGAGACGGTGCGGGCCTCTGCTCCTGGTCAAACACTGCATCCCTCGCTCGGGAGGCCAGGGCTCGGTCATATTCGGCCATGCCAGCTGCGGGTGACACCTGAAAAGAAAATATGTAGGAGAAACAGTTTCACCCACACAAAATTAAGGTTCTGTACGCAGGAGACGAGGAGGATGAATATTACTGGGTGAGAGCCTAAACAGTATTGTATTGGGTTGGCCAAAAAGTTTATTTGGGTTTTTCCGCAGCATCTTAAAGAAAAACTCAAACGAATTTCTTGGCTAACCCAATACATCATAGTGACAAGATTCATAGGCAGCCTTGTGGACCCAGAGCCTGCGCAGTGGCAATGCAAGGCGCCGTTAGCGCGACTGGGCAGAGGTGTTTAACTGCTCCCCTTGCCCCGGAACTACTTCTGTACTCTCCTTAAGATTCACATCTTTTTTTTTTCCTTTATAGACATGCTAAGGCACTCCTCAGCTGGAGCCCCTGCAGGAATAATTGGAAAAAGAAGTGAAGAAGTAGCCAGCTCTTGTGTTAAGTCTTCTGAATCACCAGGCAATCACCTAAAAGGCAACTGAAGGACATCTGTTTTAAGAAAAAACCCCTCTGTGTTTAATAGAAAAATAATCATGAAGCTCCATTGTTTGACGAAGCATGGAAACTAAATGCTGACCTTTTAGGATAACAGTTGGCTCCTCTTGGAATGGAAAACAACGGCAAGAGAATCAAAACCTGATGTGTGAAGGGTCCCCGCAAAGCAAGATAGTCAGAAGATGCTAGAAGTTTCCGCCAGGAAAACAGAACATCTCTGTTTTTTCAGTTAAGAAAAAAACTTGCCATCGCTAATTAAAACCACAATGTTTAGAAAGGAGGCCTCCCCTACCACACGGAAGGAGCTAGTCCTGTATCTGCAAGGTGTGAGGGACACGTGGGGCCTGGTGACCTCACACAGGGCAACTCCGCAGAAACGACCATGAGCAGAGGTGTCTGGAGAGCAGACTGCTGACCCGCGCCGGAACACGCCGGTGTTACGTCGGCGGGAAACGCAGGACACGCGGTTCCACGCCCGCTCGCTCAAACACAAGACGAGCAGAGCGCCGCCGGCGTGACCTCGTCAGACCGGGCGAGGGGGCCGGAGCTAAGTCCAGGGAGACGCGGTCCGTCCGCCGGCGTGACCTCGTCAGACCGGGCGAGGGGGCCGGAGCTAAGTCCAGGGAGACGCGGTCCGTCCGCCGGCGTGACCTCGTCAGACCGGGCGAGGGGGCCGGAGCTAAGTCCAGGGAGACGCGGTCCGTCCGCCGGCGTGACCTCGTCAGACCGGGCGAGGGGGCCGGAGCTAAGTCCAGGGAGACGCGGTCCGTCCGCCGGCGTGACCTCGTCAGACCGGGCGAGGGGGCCGGAGCTAAGTCCAGGGAGACGCGGTCCGTCCGCCGGCGTGACCTCGTCAGACCGGGCGAGGGGGCCGGAGCTAAGTCCAGGGAGACGCGGTCCGTCCGCCGGCGTGACCTCGTCAGACCGGGCGAGGGGGCCGGAGCTAAGTCCAGGGAGACGCGGTCCGTCCGCCGGCGTGACCTCGTCAGACCGGGCGAGGGGGCCGGAGCTAAGTCCAGGGAGACGCGGTCCGTCCGCCGGCGTGACCTCGTCAGACCGGGCGAGGGGGCCGGAGCTAAGTCCAGGGAGACGCGGTCCGTCCGCCGGCGTGACCTCGTCAGACCGGGCGAGGGGGCCGGAGCTAAGTCCAGGGAGACGCGGTCCGTCCGCCGGCGTGACCTCGTCAGACCGGGCGAGGGGGCCGGAGCTAAGTCCAGGGAGACGCGGTCCGTCCGCCAGGGCCGGCGGCAGCGGCTGCTACGCTTGGGAAGCTGGAGCGGCGGCTCTGACTTTGACAAGTAGGAATCTTAAGAGGACAGACATAACAATGATCTATCGGCCAGCCAACAAACCACCTACTGTGGTCAACAGCATTTGGAAAACGGACTTTTCAGCACCAAGCTACTAGGATGGACACACTTACCGTCCAAGCCTGAAAGGAGTGAGTTTTATTAAGATTTCACTCTCAGCTCATACACTCTGATCACCACTGATGAGCCACACGGTCAGTCCTGGCCCTGTTCTCTCGGTCTCCAAGAGACTTTCTGGCCCCTGGATTTCAATGGTTAAGACATACAGGATTCCAGGCAAGGTCCAAGTGCTTTAGCAGCATGCAATCAAAAATCTTCACCAGGAAATTTTAGAGCAGATCTGTAGTTAGAGAACTTGGCAAGGCTTCCCATAGTCCCCTCATGGCCTGCTTTAAAATACAGACAGTCCCCAACTTTCAGTGGTTCAACCTTTTTTTTCAACTGTATGATGGTGCAGAAGTCATAAGCATTCAGTAGAAATTGTACCTACATTTTGATCTCATCTCCAGCCAGTGAGATGTGGTGAGGCGCCCTCATGACGCCGGGCCAGCAGGGAGCCTTGACTCAGCATCAGCCACGTGACCGTGGTGGTAAAGACCGAGTCACTCATCATCATCCTGTACTCGGCTGACCACACTTGTTTTCACTTTCAGTTCAGCGTTCAATAAACTACATGAGTTATTCAATATTTTATTCTAAAATAGGCTTTGTGTTGTGACTTTGCCCAACTGTAGGCTAATGTATGTTTAAGACAGCTAGGCTATGATGTCCGGCAAGTTAAATCCGTTCTGTACCTATATTTTCAACTTAACTATGGGTTTACTGGAACATAGACCATAGTAAATCAAGGAAAATCTGTATCTCAATAGTTTAGCTTAGACTCTGGGTTGAAGTTCCTATTATTCCATTTGTGTATTTATTTTAACTCTTCTTACAGAAGCGAGCCACCCTGAGAGCAAAGGCGTTATTTCATCCACGGGGCCTCGCACCCTGCAGGCGTCAATGACACCTGCTGACTTGATGAGACCTCGATGACTATGGGGTCTGTAAAAGTTCCAAAATGAATCATAGCGGCTGATGAGCATCACTGGGAGCTGGTTGTGGGAAAAAGATGAGTCTGTTCAAAGAGACCGAAGAGTTTACAGTCGACTGAAAACATTCATGTTCGCACCTCTAACTACATAATGTCTAATGCACACACTCTGAGCAGATGCAGAGAGTCTAAAGTTGAAACCTAAGTTCTTTTTAGAAAGTTCAGATAAAATCAATCAAGGCTGTTTATTTCAAGAATGGAAATAAGGACTTTATAACCGAGATTGCTCACACAATGTGTAAACCTGCGTTTACTGTGTGGTGAGCATGTTAGTCCCTCAATCTGTGATCCCATGGACTGTAGCCCGCCTCTGCCAGGCTCCTCTGGCTGAGGGATTTCCCAGTAAGGATACTGGAGTGAGTAGCCACTCCCTTCTCCAGGGGATCTTCCCAACCCAGGGAGTCAACCTGGGTCTCCGGCACTTCAGGCAGATTCCTCACCAGCTGAGCCACGAGGGAAGCGGTGACAGAATAATCACAGGAGTGTGACAGGAGACAGTCTCATCCAGTCGCTTCCTCTTTCAGGAGAACGGCTCCGCTGCAGCTGGGCGATACATCTGAGGCTCTAATACGAGACACTCTAGCTGGGATTGAAAACCCAGGTTTCCAGTTCTCTAGGACCAGGATCTCTCCACGATATTACACTCTCTGGATGATGAAATCAGCTTCTGCTTTCACAGCCAGTTCAGTACAGCCACGACAGCAGACGGTGAAGAGGGAACAAGCGTTATGCGCAGGACAGGGACGTGACCTCCGCCCTCTGACTCACCGTCCGCCGGGAGGGACCTCACACGGCCAGGGAACACGTTTTAGAGGTAAGAGTTTATCTTGAGAAATCCACGTTTTTTCAACCTTTTCAACCCATCCCATCTGCTGAGCCCTTTCTTCTCTCTCCACTGCATTCATAGTAACTAACGTGTGCCTGTTACAGAGAATATCTGTACAGTCAACTCGCTGAACAAACAAAGCCCTCTAGAGCCTATTTCTCAATGTTTGAAAGTAAGAAAATGAAATAATATATTTTATGCAGTTCTCCTTTGTACCGAACTCTGCACATCAGCCTATATGCAGGTGTGCAAGCTTGTAACGATCACGCCAATCAAAATAAGGAAGTCACCTAAGTGAATGCCCATCAGAGTTACTCTCATCAATGTTCCAAAGAGATGCCGTCATAGTGAAGCGCTGACGGGTGCACTAGTAGCCCGTGAACCGCAAGCACTGTATGGTCTGCATCCAAGAGAGAGGTGGGGGTGAGGATTAGTTCTGAGCGCTGTCATCTCTGAGGACAAGGCCTGTCCGCCTTATCGACGATATTACCACAGCCTAGAACATGGGAAGGGAGTGGTATTCAAAAATCCTGTCTGCCACACACACACTACCCTGTTTACGAGGGTGAAACAGGTCACTGGTGGGCAGCTGCTCTGTAACCCGGGAGCTCAGCGCGGTGTTCCAGGACAACCGAGACGGGGGAGGGAGGGGAAGGGAGGCTGAGGAGGGAGGGAGATGTACACATAATTTAAAAAATGCTGTCTAAAGAGTGAAATGAAGGAAGGAAGGACGGAAGGGAGAGAAGAAGGTAGGCTGATTCACTTTAAAACACGATACAGATGACTGAAAAGTATCTGAAAGGAATTACATTTATACCGATTTTGTGTCATCCACATTAAAAAAACAAAGATATATCAGGCCCTACAAATCATGGAAGAAAGAAGAGGGCGACAGAGGATGAGACGGTTGGATGGCATCACCGACTCAATGGACAGGAACTTGGGCAGACTCCAGGAGATGGTGAGGGACAGGGAGGCCTGGCGTGCTGCAGTCCATGGGGTGGCAGAGTTGGATGCATCTTGGTGGCCGAGCAGCAGCAGTCCGGGAAGGAGCAGGGTGGGGACGACATGGGGTGGGGGATTAAGGACCATACAAGCTATTACGCACAAAAGCAGTTATAAAGGTATACTGTACAACACAGGGAATACAGCCAACACCCTTATAAATGGAGTATGTCCTTTAAACACTGAGTCACTATATCACACACTGGTAACATATAATGTTGCACATCAACTACACTTCAGTGAAAAAGAAGTTAAAAATACCATTAGCCGTCCAAAAAAAAAAAATGTGGCACTAAAAGCAGAAAATGTGTTTGCAAGAAACCTTAAGAAGAAAGGATTTTTATCTTGTCAAAGAAGAAACCACAATTTTTCTGAAAAGAATCAAAGAAAGCAACTCTGGAGAACTCTTCTTACCCTTGTATTTATTGTCTCCTTCTGGCCCTGTATCCCACGCAGTAAGCATCTGTGTCCCCTTAAGCTTTCGGCTCCCCTGCTGAGCAGAGCCCTGCTGGTTTCCAGGTTTAAGGTTTGCTTATTCTTTCGCAACGAGGCGGCCAGAGGAACGATAACTTAAACAGCAACGCACCAGGACTTCCCTGGCAGTCGGTCCCGCAGCTCGGACCTGTGTCCCCCAGGGGGACATGGGTTCAATCCCCTGGCTGGGGAAGTTTACATGCTATGTCATCAAAGATAAATGAAAAAAATTTTTAATAAAAAGGAAAGCACTGAAGAAGAGGGATAAACAAGTCAAAAGTACGAGGTCAAAGATCTGCAGCAGAGACCTTTCAAGTAGGGTGCCTCTACTGCAAGGCGCATGCGAGCCCTAAGAAGACTCTTTAAAACCTCTGCTTCTATGGATCTGCGTGCAGATGGGGCCGAGACTCTCACCTCAATCCTAGTCAGACACGTGAGGTGCGTGCCAGCAGCAAGGACCCGGGGACGCTGGGCATTCCCGTCCTCGCTGATTCCTGTGTTTCAACATACTACAGTTTGTGTCCAGCTGAATGGACTGATGGGCTGCATCACCTGGGTTCACTAAACCAAACACCACAAAGTAGATAACCGTCTTTCAAAGGTTCCCACCAAATGGACTGAAGACAATGCAAACAACATAAGCAGCAGCAACTGAGACAGAGCCGTGCCCACGCGTGTCCCACAGCATGAGCTCCTCCAAAGCCATGTTACCGGATGGACAGGCGGTGACCGACCGTGAGGTCAGGGCTGTCCAGCACAGCTCACCGAGATGATGGAGACGCTCTAGACGGGCGTGCCCAACATGGTCGTCTCTAATACACACTTGCCGAACACCTGAAATGCAGCCAGTGCAACTGAGAAACTGCATTTTAATGTTTCATACCTAATTTAAACTTAAATACTCACACGTGCCTAGTGGCTACTACATGAACAGTGCAAGTCTAAGAGAGAACACACGCAGGCTAGAATCCAAATGCGTTCCCTTACAAACTGTGACCTCCGGCTTACTGCTTCTACGCCTTTTTTTCTTCATCATAACACCTACCTCATATGGTTAAAATTAAACTAATGCACAAAAAGTACTTAGACTACTGCATAATACATAGAAAGTTTCTTTATTATCTCCTAAGCAGATTAGAGAAGAAAAAGATTATTAATTTGAAAAATGGAGACACAAATAGTTGTCGCTAACGAATCTTGAACGAAGTTTATATTGGGCTTTGAGATACTAAGTAGTTCATACAAGGCTACCCCAACTTGTGGGACATCTGCAAAAATTTTATTTAATCTTTATCTTATGCATTCTTGTATACATCTTATAATGAACATTGTAGATATCAATACTACTATACAAACTATATAATTTCTTTGTGAATTATATAAATACACTATTAAAAAGACAAAGACTGTCAGCATGAATTTAAAAAAAATCACCAACCAGACTGAACTATGCTAGGTATTACTATATAAACAAATGTGCATATATTAGATATATGCACTTGATTTCTTTTCAAACTACTGCAGTGTAAGTATATAAGCCGTATCTTCTAAAAAATAAAATAAAATAATGGAGTGAATAACAAAAATGTTTAGAGAGCTCTGGGCTAAACCAGAAGAAATATATTCATTTTAGCAAAAAAACAAACAAACATGTGAATGTATAGGCATTTAATTATTGTGCTTAAGTCACATAGATAATTATTAAGTTAAATAATAAAAATATAAGAATAAAATAATGCCATTTGCAGCAATATAGATGGCTCTAGAGATTATCATACTTAGTGAAGTAAGCTAGACAGAGAAAGACAAAGATTATATGATATCATTTATATGTGAAACTTAAAGGGAAAAAAAAGACACAAATGAACTTACTTCCAAAACAGGAATTGACTCACAGACACAGAAAAGAAACTTATGGTTCCCAAAAGGGAAAGGGGAGGCTGGGGGAGGCTAGGATGAACACACACACTACTCTGTATAAAACAGATAACCAACGCGGACCTGCTGGACAGCACAGGGAACTAGACTCAGGATTACGCAGCCACCTCTAAGGGAACAGAAGCTGAGCCCAAGGTGCGGACAGGAGGAGAAGGGGTACAGAGGACTAGTTGGTCGGATGGCATCACTGACTCAATGCACAGGAGTCTGAGCAAACTCCAGGACACAGGGAAGGACAGAGAAGCCTGGCGTGCTTGGGGTCACAAGGAGTCAGACAGGACACAGCGACTGAACATCAGTAACAAACATGTGTTTCTGAATTGCTGTGCTGTGTACCTAGAATTTACACATATTGTTCAGTTCAGTTCAGTCGCTCAGTCGCTTCCGACTCTGCGACCCCATGAATCGCAGCACGCCAGGCCTCCCTGTCCATCACAAACTCCCGGAGTTTACTCAAACTCCTGCCCATCGAGTCGGTGATGCGATCCAGCCATCTCATCCTCTGTCATCCCCTTCTCCTCCTGCCCCCAATCCCTCCNCTATTGGAAACCAGTCTGTTGTTCCATGTCCAGTTCTAACTGTTGCTTCCTGACCTGCATACAGGTTTCTCAAGAGGCAGGTCAGGTGGTCTGGTATTCCTGTTTCAGAATTTTCCACGGTTTATTGTGATCCACACAGTCAAAGGCTTTGGCATAGTCAATAAAGCAGAATCAGATGTTTTCCTGGAACTGTCTTGCTTTTATGATGATCCAGCAATGATCCAGATGTGATAGTCTATCATATAATTATTTTTCATAAGTTTAATCATTTTGAGGAGTAATAAGCATGTCCCTCAGTTTGGGTTTGTCTGATTATTTTCTTTCCCTAATACTTAGACTGGGTAGACTGGGATTGCGGACTTTAGATCACAGAGAAGTGTATCTCATCACAGAACATGATGTGGACATGACTTATCACTGGGGTTTACCATGGTCACTTGGTGAAGGCAGTGTCTGTCACCCTTCCTCTCTGTAAAGTGAATACTGTTCTGTTTCCATAATCTGTTCTTTAGAAATGAGTCAGTAAGGCCAGTTCACAGTCAAGGGCAGGGGTGCTAGGGATCGAGAACTTTGAAAGCCAGTTCTGCTTGGACTGGAGCACATTTGACATGAGAACTTTCATTTATTTACAGTAAACCAGAAACAGTAGAGTTAGGAGAAGAGGATGGGAAAACAAAGTCGCTTTCTGCTATTTACCAGACAAGGATTTCACTGTAAGAACGACACTTGGATCAAAACGTCTTTTTAGGGAGTTTATAAGACTTGGGTAGTAAAACAGCTTCTCTGTCCTCTCAAGAATCATTCAAAAGCAGTAAGGAGAACGTGAAACAAACTGTAAACTTCAACTTCTAGGAAATTAGAAGAAATTAGGAACACAAATCCACAACACATGAAGAACTACCAGATTCAGAGAGAGTGAAGCGTGGAGCAGATGTTGACAAAGATGCTCACCCCTGCAGCTCTCAGGCAAACTTGGCAAGAAAAAGAAGTCAGACAAAAGAAGAGGTAAGAAAATTTAATGCACAGATGTTA